GCCCACATGTCGGGAAAAAATTATAAGCCCCGGTGATATAGAAATCTCACCAAAAAGGCGCATTCAGTCTAATCTAATCCAAGAGAAATTGTTAAACAGTCGTGTTTAAACTCATTGATCATGTCTATCGCATTGGTAAGCAACCACGCTATATGCCAAGACCTATAGCTACTTAATAATATATATAATTTCGTCATCTATGCAGAGCTAGATCGGGCGTTTATACTTAGACTAGGGTAAATTACTTCGTACGGCCAACTCTGTTTCGTCCCCGCTGCGTCCGTATCTCTTCCGCAGAATAATATCCGATTATTCATTTCACGGCGAAAACCATGTTTCCAAATTGAAATTACGCAAATTTAGGATTTATATGGCAGAGATTTCATCAACACGGCACGCCTCCATGATATACATAGCACTGAATTCTATGATTATTATGATTGATGTTTCATGAATATACCGACGCGACACGTGACACGGCGCACACGGTGATTATTTTACTCAAGTTAAAATGAACGCATGAGTCATTTTAGCTCATCGTGTGCGGGGATTTTCAGTTGAGTAATTTGACGCTATCGCGTCATTTTGACGTCCACGGTGTGCGCGGATTTTCGTTGGAGTAATTTGACTCATGCGTCATTTTACTTGGAGTAAAACTGAACTCACGTGTGCGCCGGGCTTACATACGTTTATTTCTATGTAGGTTCATATAGTTTCTTAAAACATACATACGTTCGCAAGAAACACAGACAGCCGAAAAGCGACAGGGATGACAATGGGATCTTTAAGAGATGTATACTCTTGCTAGAAAATTCATTCTCCGTAAATTTAGTCGCAAGATGATCATTGCCATATCGCAACTATATCGGTTTGATGCATTTAGCATATCATTAACATCTATTCATTATTATTTACGCGCAATTTATTTTTCACGATCAACAAACTAACTATAGGTGATACCAATTTTCATCTTACTTATCGAAGTTTTCTTCTACTGTGTTCGGTATGGCGTAGCCGTTGGTTTCCGAAAGCCACCTACGCTTCCGCTCTATGGATCGTCCCACGTGATACATGTAAATGATACACAGAAGCATACATGAAGCATGACTATATAGTATAAGCAGATTGCGTATAACAGTCCATATACTGTGGTCATTAGAACAAGATAATAATTTAATCAAATCAATCAAATCAATCAATCAATTAATCAATATCTCTATATATATATATCTCTCTCTTATCTCCTCTTCTATATATAAATGTTGTGTGTGTGCGTGCGTGCGTGCGTGCGCGCGCGTGTGTGTGTGTGCGTGCGTGCGTGTGTGTCTCTGTGTGTGTGTGTGTGTGTGTATGCGCGCTCGTGTGTGTGTGTGTGTGTGTGTGTGTGTAGCTATTACATCTGTATTATGTCTGTGGATTAGTTACATCTGTGAAACTTACAAGAGCAAATGAACATGATGACGATGATGTGACGCATCTCGCTGTCAATCTGCAAAGTAGTTATTAATACAAATGTAAGCATGCCACTCATAATCACACATATACTG